TAGAAACACAAAGCAGTTTGCTGAAACATAGTGATATATTAAGAGTTCAGTTAATTACATGTAAAGAAACAGGACAGACTTCAAAACCTTTGCTCAGTTTCTATTTTATTTGCAACGGGGGCATGCTGATGGGTCTTTGCCTGCTTACTGTTGAGTAGGAGTTTCAGAATTTTAACCCGAGGGTAAAATTTTCAAAAGCGTTTAAGTGACTGGCTCACTGAAAATCAATGTGACTCTCACTCCTTAGGGCAACTTTTTAGAAAGTATGTAGATACAAAAGTCTGATTGATTTCAATGTCTGTGTATTAAAAAGAATTCTTGTTTATTGCTCCAACTCTCTTTAAAAAGATGACTATTGCATTTCCATGCCACTTAAGCATTTACAAAAATGTTACCCCATAACAGAACAAGCTGTTGTTCTCACAGTTTTTCACCTGTAAAACCTTGCTCTGTTTCTCTGTCTTTTTTAACATATGCAGAAAATCATAAGACATGGTTTGGATGGTGAATAATGAGCCACACCATTGTTTTCAATCTGTTCGTAAAATCCTACTGCAATCCTACTGAAGAAGAGGTGGCAATTATAATTAGTGCAGAGAGTTCTTATCGACAGTAGATTTTCCTAGAATTTCAAAATAAACACAAATAATTTCCCTTTTCCAGTCTATTTAATGCCTTTTTTGATAAAACTGATAAATTGCTTCCTCTGAAGCTAAAGCCTGACCCCAATTAATCTACCTACATCATGTGTAAGAGAAAGTAGAAAAAAATAAAACTGAAGTGCAAAAATCTTGGGGAAAGGAAGAAGACATAAATCAGAACAAATTAGTCATTTTCACTAACGAAAATATATATTATGTTTTCTGTTTAATCTCTCCTATATAATTTACTGAGAAAATTAAAAAGTGCCACTTAATTTAGAAAAAATTCAGTATTCAAAAAATCTGTAGTTTGAGAATTTGTGTGCGTGGAGGGGTACTTTGTTTCTCTAACAAGTTTTCTATATGAGCTTTCAAGTTATGCTAACTTGTTGCACAACAGCTTACAAGTTCTCAACAGTTACGTTTATTACAATTTTACCTCACTTTCAGACAAGCTCTCTTATCATGCTCCAAATCACATTTTATGCTGCTTTGAAGTACATTACTAATATGCTTATTGCTTAACAGAAAATAGCCTAACAGTCATTTCTGTTTTAAGGTGCAAAGTAATAAATGTCAGTCTCTTTTTTGCAGTCACTTATCTGAACCAGTACTTAGTCTCAAAGTATCTGTCTTTGGAAACAAGTCAGAAGTCCAGTGCTCTAATGGTCTTCTCTTTGGGACTAACAATAAAATATATTAAATGAATTTTGCACCGTTCTCTCCATGCAGCCTTCATTCAAAATCAGGCCTTTTCCTGTCATTATTAAAACTGGACAGGCCTAAGTTTTATGAACAAGGATATTGGGAATTCCATCTTATTTTATGCATGTTCTGTGATCATGTGGGTTGCAAAGACCAGGCTCCCTGGCAGTCATTTGTACTTGTCAGTGCATACCCTTCTTTTCCCTGTGGCTATTCTGCGCTGCTAGACGGGTGTGTTTGTTCTGCCTTTTGGACATCATTATAGTGCCTAAGAAACATGGAGGATGGACCCGACAGGCTTATAAATGACTGCGGAGTCATCTATGAAGAAGGGAATTCTCTTTTGAGACCTTTACAGAACATATATATTGTATTATTCTGCACATATTGAGAGAAGCATGTGGTTTTCCATCACAGAAAACAGAGAAAGCAAGATTTAAGGAGTGGACAACTGTGGATATCATTTACCACAACATTCAGAAGGAAGGCTGTTAAGATACAAGAAACAGTTAAGGTGAAAAGACCATGTAGTTACAAGCTTCAGCTCAATCTTTTTATGCAGCTGTCTTAAGATTCTTGTAATGTAGCACTTTATCCCTGGGCACATGTACAAACTTTTAATCAGGTTAATAGATTTCTTCTCTGTGTCTTCTCCACAGTCAAGAAGTTTCCATGTCTCCAAGACAAGTCTTTCAAGGATCTGAATGAACAACAGAGTGCACTGGGCCAAACAACAGAGCGGCTCTCTTACGGCTCAGTAGGAGCAGTGAAATCCAGCCTCTTATGCCCGTATGGAATGCTCAACCTCATATAGGCAGTACGCCCTGGCTGATCTTAAGCATCGTAATGGCAGATAAAGGAGAGAGAATTTATTACCTAGCACTCCAAGCATATAGGATTTTATGGATCAATAAGAACATCCTGAGTTATGCCCAGAGGCGAAAAGGAAGCCGATATAGACTTCAAAGGCCTTGTGTAATATATTCCTTATGACCAATATTACGGATTAAGCACAAAGCAATGTTCTACACAACCCATTGAATCTAGCCGGAATAATGACAGACAATACATTGTGATAGCCTATTCTTGAGGCTACAGAGGAGTGGATAACTTATAGCCTTCATCTTCAATAACTTGTCGCAATCATCTGACCAAAGATAGCAAAACTTAATTTAAGCCCGGAAACCCGTTCTGAGTTAAGTATTGAAGAACACCTTTGATTGCGAGCTTCGTTCAGAAAGAATAATCAGATTACTGACCAGCATCACGTTCCCCTGTCTCACCTCAAATCTCTTTCAGGTAAAGTTTAAAAAAAGTGAAAGACTGTAAACTCTAGGTTTGACAAAAGAAAGTGTAGGTCAAATTAACTGGCAGACTCCTCAGAAGCCTGGTTACTTTTCGAAGCAGGGATGCTGAATGTACTGACTGAAGAACAGAAATCGTAAGATTTTCATGCAGTTGTAATAAGTGAAAAATGCAAATGTAACTAAAATAATGTCTACAGTGTACAGAGAAAGGACATAATCTGTATTACCTTGCCTATGACAAATTCAGGACTGAACTTTCCGTTTATATAGGCTGTAAGAGGCTTCTTTTGAGGTCTTCCTTCTTTACATCATAAGACTGGGAAAGGTATGTGACAAACTTAATGGTTTCATATAGCCCAAATTTGAAAGGATGTTTTTCAGCTTTCATTGAAAGCTGAAAAGGTTGAGCTCCTTGCAGACTCAATCCTATAGACAATTCAAGGTCCCTACATTTTCCTTGTAAGAAGATTATGTGCCTTTTTTTGAAAGGAAACAGCTCTCAAGGAAAGTTTCCTGAGTCTCATATAATATGGGAAAAATTCTGCTACTAGGAAGAGCTTCCCTTACTTAGGTATGGTGGATAGCAGGAAAAAGGCCTTCATGTTTTAAATTATCTTGGGTCAGCTTAGCACAGAGACTGAACTGCAGAGGAAGGTGAAATGTGTGAATCTCTGTATAATCTGTGAATATGATAGAAAATGAAGTGGGACTTGAACATAGGCAATGTAGACCTTTGATTAGCTGCTGAAGAAAAAATTGCTCAAATATTAATAGTTGTCTATTAATGGTAATCTTGTTCAATAATTTGCTTAAGGAAACTTCCCTTTTCTACCTGATTTTAAAGGGAAGGTAAAATTTACATCTTTCCTTTTGTGGTTAAAAAAGATGTCACATAAGAGTGAAAGTTGGAGCTCTGGCAGGGGTTAGCATTGATCCCACTCCTCCACACACTACTCCGCTGAAAAGTCTCGCTCTGCCTTGCAACATTCTTGTTATTCCAGAACTGGGTTGGGCTAGTCATAATAGATGCAGGCACTGAACTCTTCCCCACAGACAGCTCTGCCACCGGCGAGTGAAACTCACTTCACCTTGCAACACTCCTGTTATTCCCATGTCTTTTAAGCAAAGGCTATCAGTTAGGTACTGATAGTGACTGAAAAGTGTTGCTGATAATGACAAATGTCTATTTGGGACTGGGATGAAAAAAACTTGCCTTCTGAATCATTAGGATTTTAACCCTAACGTTAGAAGTAAATAATTTGTATTCCAGTCCTTTTTTCACTACTGCAAGTAATGAAATCCAAGTGACTCCATAGTTATCAATTCAGTTGCACATGGTATAACTGAGATTAAAGTCGGATCTTTACATGATGTGGCCTCCTATGTGGCTGTGCTTTCTCCCAGGGAAAAAGTTTCCTGTTAATTAAGACACTATAGCTTTCAAAGCAGATCACTGCTGTTTTATTTATAATGAAAATCTATAGAGCATACTCAACACTGATGCAAACAAGCATTAGCCTACTGACAGGATCTCAATTTACACTAGCATTTGGGTTTGGAACGTAGTTTATGTAATTCTATGGAAAATCAAATAAATGTGGGACACAGTAAAACAATATGTCAGAATAAGGACTGTTCTTTCCTCTTTGTTTTCTTCATTACATGAAATAATGCATTTAAAATAAAATAATGCTCTAGGCAATGTACAAATCTAAAAAAACTATGGTTTGCTAAATGAGCGTAGTGAGAGGCTATGAATATGGATCTGTTTGTACTAAGGAGCCTAGAGGACTTGCTTTTTATGCATGGTGACACAGAAATATGTACTTGTAACTCTCTGTACACCAGGGAGAGAATATTCCCCTAAAAAAGCAGTTTATCTAGCAGTGCTCCTTGTTGATCAAAGCTGCATAATTTAAAGTATCTGGAGGCAACTTTAAATTATTCACAGTATATTTTTTGCAAACGGTCTTGGTATATAGCGGATAGCATTCATGCAACTTGCAGTTTTCTGTAAGTTCTACGACCGTTTGCATCCTTACAGAGCTGGTGAGTTTTCCCAAAGGCGCATCAGAGAAGCGGAGAAGTAACTGCGTAACAACAGGAGCAAGAGAGACTCATTCTGACACTCTGTGTTAGTCACATCACACAAAAATGCCAGGCATGCAGGGCCATACGGAGCGGCAGGGCAGAGCCCGCAGCCTCTAGGTCTCAGCCCGCGTGCTGCTGTGTGTTTCCTAAAAGTTTTCTGATACCCTCAAAAGCCCCAAGTAGGACTCCTGCAATTAGTGCGTCTAACTCCTCCTTTACTGCAGCCTTCTCTCCTATTGGCAAAAGATCTTCGCAGGCTCATGTAGGGAACCCACCCCTTTTGTGGGTTTTCATTCTGAAGCTATTCACAACTTCACACCTGAATGAATGCCAAACCTCTCTGAATATATAAGGGAAACCTTCAAGAGCAATTTCAGAGTTACCAAGAAGAAGCAGAAGAAAAAGATTTCACCCAGCTCTGTCAGACAGAGACTGAACAACCATGCTTCTCCCTGCCATTCACTTCTATGGCTTTCTCCTAGCTTGCATCTTCACGAAAAGCTACTTGGCTTTCAAGAATGATGCCACGGAGATACTTTATTCACACGTCGTTAAACCTGCTCCAGCGAGCCCAAGCAGTAATAGCACGTTGAATCAAGCCAGGAATGGAGGCAGGCACTATGCCAGCGCTGGATCCGACCGTAACAGTGAGTATCCTACCGGGGCCCTCCCCAGCGCCTGCCGCAGCCCCTGCC